CAAAGGATTCCGGGGCCCCCGCCAAGGGATCCCCCCCCCCCCCCCCCCCCCCCCCCCGCGTGGCCATGCCTTCCTTCCGCCACGACTGGATTTGGTACATGATTCGGTATGTGTTTCCTCCCCTCGCCCGTAACCCGCGAGCAAACGGAGGACCCCTATTTGTTCGGTTCTACATTTGTTCCTGTCATGTGATCAGAGCTCTCTCCCTTGTCTGTAACTTGCGAGGATGTCTGATGTGTCGTTAGTCTTTTCTTCGCCAGCTACTCGGCTGCTTTTGGTTTGGCATCTAGAGAGGTGTGGGAATGGGTTATTTGGGGAGCCGCGTCTTCCATTCATTTCCGATTATCCCATATCGGATGACTCATGGTTTTATCCCTTCTAGTGATTTCCCCTGTTTCTGCACCTACGTCTCCTCAGTGTAGGCTAGGGTGTGGTATTGGCTGTGGACGTACGCGCTATCAGCCCACGTGTAACGGTATGCTGCTGAATGAGGTAGACAGGTACCATCCTGTGGACGATACTCGGGGTAAGAGCACCGAGGATTGTATTAAGGTCGTCGACAGGACGGTCTTGGCTGCATTTGCGCCTGGCATCTACGTAGATCGTATCTCGCCAGTTGATCGAGAGGAGGAGTCAAGAGAGAGCAGCGTGAGCCCCCCTCTCAAGTCACGCGTCCAGCGATCAACAAGCAAAGCTTATCTAGTGAGTCCCAACCACTCCTGCTCCTCTCCAACAGTCGGCCCCATATCGCAAGCACATTACAAGAACCCTTTGGATACATTGAGGTGCGGCCATATGGCGTCCATTTCCGCCGTGAAACACCGCCGTGATGGCGGTACCGCTATCGCGTCGTTTTTCCGACGTTTTTGTTTTTTTACCGCCTCCGCCAAAGTCGTTACCGCGAAAAACCGCAATATCGCCTACCGCCAACAAAACGACCGCCATGTGGCGATCCTGCCTACAAATTACCGGCAAATGATAGCGTACCACCTCCGCCGCAGTAGGTACCGCCAATGAACGCAATACCGCCTACTGCCGAATACGTAACCGCAAAATGACGTTACCGCCAAAAATGTGCCTGCCTATAGAAAACACCCTACCGAGTAATCCCCTGAAAAAATCCACGTACATAGAAGTGCAGAGTGGCAGCAGCAAGCGTCCAACCGCTTCTCTCCGCGGATACTCAGAGAATTTTACAACATGGAGACAGGCGGAATTCCAACCCCAAACCATGTCGCCAAACATCGATCTCGTTAGCGCTCAGGATCTCGTGGCTAACCTACAACATCCCCGTGCCTTGGTGCTGCCACGCCAGGATATGACATCGCCCAGGGTGTGTCATTTTTAAACCCACCGTACGAGGTTCGTGGCGTTCATGTTCTTGGCAAGAAAAAAAATCGTCGAAAGCTGGGCGCCCCAATCACGCAAATAGTGTTGGCGTCACGATGTGAAGTCAAGGGCCTTTGGGCGTAGGACGTCGTCGATGCCGTAGCCAATCTCGATCACTCCACCCAGGGCTTTACTCTGAACGAGCAAGGGGTGCAATGCTGTGGAATGTGAGGCGTGTGTGCGGACACTGTTGCCTCGATCAGAAACGAGCGATTGCAACAACAATCTGTAGCCTCGTGCTTCCAGGCCTACTTCGCCACAATCTATGCTCACCTACTACACCACCGGCACGAGTGGGGGTGGTCACCTCAACGTTCGTCTGTGAAGCGTTGCTGACACCGTGACGGGTTGTCTTTGTAGTCACCTCGACACCTGCCCCGAAAAGATCCCTGGAATGCGAAAGTCATCACGATACACACGAGGTGGTGATTCATGTGCTGTATCGGCTCCACAACCGTGGCCGCATGTAACACAGCTTAGTTCTCCGCAAGTGTATGTAGCCCTCGGTGCCAGAATAGCAACTCGTTCCCGCAGGACACGACGTCACAGAGTCGTTGCACACTGTCGCCGAGAATCGCACGTCGCATGTTGGAAATAGCAGGGATGTAGAGGGGTCGAATGTAGTCGTTGCGGTAGACGAAAGGAGGACGGTACCAACAATACGCCGGGGCAGAAACAAAAAATTCCAACTGTCTACAGGAAGGACTACTGTAGTATCGACGGCAGTTGCTCCGACTGCTGTTTTCTGCTGAGCCGTTGAAACCGATAAAGCAACCGGTTGCGTACCTTCCTATTTAAGGTCACGATCCGCACAACAATAATAGAATACTAGTGTATCCACCAAAAAACGAAACAGTATCCGTATGTTGTACTTACTCACTACGTGTGACGGTCCAGACCGCCGAATTAGCGATATTGATTTCAGTTGCAGTGCTGCGGTTGACAGCCAGGAAACGGCCAAGGGACAGCGAAGACAGGCAGCAGGCGAACAACGATTGCTAGGGTATGAGAACACCGTGCAAGAACACAAAACGCACGTTCCGAGCAGGAGGCCAAAATAGCGTGATGATGGGTGGAAAGGGGACAACATCAAACAACGAAATCACGTTGATACTCAATATTGACAATAGTAAGGAATGAGGGAGGAATATGATGCCGGAAACGGCGCACACAAATTGAGTGAACACGACCGAACGTTGAAAGGGTGGCATGGGGCTGAGCGTATCAGTGCCTTGTGGGACACCGATCCTGGCAATTTCCAGCTTCCCTCCAGTTCTACTGTATCTTGTGCCCTCGGTTGGACCCAACATTGACTTCCCCCGGTAAGGCAGCCGATTCAAATACCGCCGCAAACCCCATATTGTTCCAACTGCAGCACGTCATCTGTTCACCCCAGAGGCCGCGGTTCACTTGATACTGCGGTCTTTGGGCGCGTAGGGTTTTAAGTTTGGGTTTCGAAATTCGGCAGTAATCAACTACATAGCAGCCTACACAGCGAATGAGTAGAAAGCGCATAGTCGTGATCCAGCACAGAAGCGGACCCAAGGGAGTACTGACCTCTTCTCGAGTACGACAGGTAGACAAACGCCGCCGCAGGAAGAGAAGTGGCGCGAAAATGAACTCCTACTTTTCCCGATGTCCGGTTTTCTCTCTGGCTTGCGCGTCAGGTATAGGAGTACCTAATTGATATTCATGGGATACCTCGCGAGAGTAACAGATCTTCTCCTGTTGTTGCAGGCAAATTTCGTCGACACAGCACGTGACCTCTAGACTACAGCAATATCTGTAGCACCCTCCCGCGTGGAGGAGGAAACTCGGTTGTGAAGTTTACGGTAAATCAATGGGACGCTAACGGGCCCCATTTCGGGGGGGGTGGGGGCAGTATCGGTGTCTTTGCGCTACAACTGGATGATCGGTTTCCCTGCCTATGCTGAGTCAATCATCGTCAGTCGTAATTTGAAAACAAGCGAAGCGGGAGTCCAGATCAGATAAATAACAGAGGAGCGGTGTACCCCCTTTGTTGCGAACTATTGGGAAGCGAGCGGCCGGATCAAAGTACCAGGACCAAAAGCAAGTTGCTCACAAGACCTACAAGAGCGAGATCCCATATCATTGCCAAAAGCGCTCGAAAGCCCAAAACCACGAGTAGTACACAGCAAGGAAGTCCCGAAAACACAGAGTGTCCTAACGGTGACAGCGGCCTAGAGGTGAGCGAACCTTACTACCCACACACAGTTACGACCGATGGAGGATATTGCTATAAGACAGCGCGTACAACACCTCAACACCACCCGCACGGTATTGCTTCACAAGTGGTAGGCTTGCGGCAGATAATACGCATCAAACGTAGAAAAAAAACAGAGGACCTTTAAAAAAACGCACTTGGCAGTTACCGCGGCAGAGGGAATCCATCCGAGAAGAGAAAAAAAAAACAATCCGCAGTTAGCTTGGGGTAGGAAGAGACACTGAGAAGGAAAGCAATCAAGACAGCAGCTTACCCAACGACCCCAACAGCAGTTTGCCGAACCGGCAGGCTGCAGATAGGTAGCCCGGGTTGTTTGTATGATAGAGATGGATTCGTTGTGTCATACTAAGAAGAAAAAAAAAATGACAGAAAGAAAAGAACAGCTACCGCGTCTCTACAAGTGCGTCACCTGGCCTGCACTTGCGACTACGTGAGAGACCCGCCAACACGCACCATTGCCCCCTCTACTACGCTGACTGTCGTTCCTCATGCTACTGTTTGTGTCCCCTCCAGGCGATGCGCCTGCTGATCTCCATCACTCATGTTGTGCGAGAATTGGGTGAAGGTGTGTATGTGAGGCACCTTGAACACAAGTTTCATCAGCGCGTACAGCAATACAGCAACAGTAGTAGTACCTCTCTCATACCTCACACGCGAGAGAAAGTACAGCAGTAGCAACGGCAGGAGAGGTTGTAGCAAGCAGGAGCGCTACCGATGCACAACAGTCAGAGTAATCTCCGGTCGCGCGTAATGCCTGCTGTGATGGCTACAGCACCGACCTTGATGCCTTTGATGTGTGATGAATGGGACTGTTGAAGAACAGCCCCGAAAATTCGCCGCATGATTGTCCCGAAACGAAACGAACGGCTCTATTTTTTTGTTGCACTACCCCCGCCAATCCCCGTCTCCCGTCACCCCCGCCTCTTGTGTGTCTGTTTTTTATCTTTTCACTTCTGATTTCTCGTTCTGTTCTATCTTCTCGCCCAACTGCCAAGCACACGCTGCACGGCCCGCCATCTTTGTCTTACGGCAAGCAAGTCGCGTGCTATCTCTGCCCGGCGAACATCGTCGTCATCATACGATAGGGGTGCGCCCCTTCACGTGCGAGGGACATTGTCAGTAGAGGGCGCGCCGAAAACGGAGGGGTACGCGCGCGCACGCGTTTTTTACCACTCACTGCGGAAGTCTTGACCTCCCCTCTTTCCCCGACCAGGAAGAGAGAGGAGGTACGACTACCGGCGCTGGTCCCTTTGCTGCTGCCGGTGAGTGCTACGGCGGCGACGTCTGCTGCTGCTGCTGCTGCTGTTGCTGCTGCTCCTGCACAACCGGGGGGGGTATTTATGGTGTCCTAGAAGTGTTCCACAACCCGAAGAAATTTCTCCGAAAGAAAGGCAACTTGCGCGGGGTCTGCACACTGCACGTCGTCAGAGCGGGTCGAAGGGTGCATGGTTATTTTCGGCGTGGGGGAGAAAAGTCTTACATCAGTGAACATCCGTGGGAGACAAAGCCGGGCGGGCGTTCAGACAGGCAATGTAGCATGCTCTGGCCTCGGACATGTGTGTAGAACCAAAAAGCGCCGACGCCAGAAGACGAACTGTCGACTAAATATTTTGTATTTCTTAATATGACACAACGAATCCAGCTCTAAATATTGTACCATATTCGTTGTGTTCACGTCACGTAAGGGTAAAAACTGAAACGTTCAGCGCGCGTCCGTCGATTGTGGTCATATCTCGAACGGTAGTCTTTCTGTCAGATTATGTATATTTTCTGAAATAAGTTGTGATCACGACTACATTTATTTTTGAAATGCTTATCACCATATTCATGTGAAGTTTTTATTGTTATATTTGTACATAAATTTAGTCTATGCCTTTGCCCAACCGAAGAACTACCAGTATGTAGGCAGTGCAGAGAACGTTTTTTTTTAAGTGTCGCTTGCCGGCGGAGCAGCAGTTACGGAACGGCGTCGTTTGACGGTCTTTTTTTATTCTTTAAAAACGTTTGCGTGGATACCATGTATGTGTACCTGCTGTTGCTGCTGGAAGCTAAATTTCCTTTTGTTTGTGTGGAAGTTAGAAAGTCGTTTTTGAACGCCTGGCGTCTGTCTTTTCCTGTTCTTGTTTGCGTCCGTCTTCGGCCTGCAGACGGCGCTCAGTTGAGTTCGACGTTGTTTTCCACGGATAATAACCTTTCCGATCGCGGCATCTGCCTTCCAGGTGTGTCCGTACTGGTCCGACTGGCGCGGACGCCTTCCGTGGCCACAAGCTAACTGTTTATACACAACACCCCGGAAAAAACACCGTTCCAAGGCCAGAGAGGAAATGCTCGCACTAACTTAATGGCATTATTGTAATAGAGCCGTGCAGACGACACTACAATGTACTTCCATGTATGATGGGGAGCTTGAGCTTATGAATTCCCCTTGCGAGTTTTGCAGCACGAGGGGTTGACCAGACCCATTCGCGCGAGTACGCTATGCTCGCGAGGCCTCGAGATGAAGATATGTAGGTCGGGCGACGGTGCAATCTCTTTCCCGGTATGCCTTGCCATACGGTCTCCTTTTTCGGTTCTGGTGTCGTGGAAAAGAAGACTGTTGATTGTACAGAAGGTAGTGTCTGGACGATGAGACTTGTTTTGTTTTGTTTTTCAAGCCCCCAAGATTGGCGACGAAATCATCGTGGAGAGCCTAGAGAAATGAATGGGCACAATCCGACAAGCGGGGAGCGTGAGGACAGCCCGTTGAAAGGGAATTTATTCCGCTCGTGTTCGTAGGCGTAGGTTCTTCCGGGCCGCGACTGGCTGCTGTTGTAACGGGACGCGTTGGGTAAACGTGTGTGTGGGCGCGTCGAAAAAGTCGATGGTTTGGGTTTTAGGAAACGGGTCGACCTCGCCGGCGCCAGGCAAGGCCCCAGCGCCCCTACTCTAGTAGCGAGCGCTCTAGGCTTAGATGGGCTCCTTCACGAGCTTCGGAGACAACGCATCAGAAGCGAAAAACCAACCGACACTTCGTGTATCCGGGGGGTACATTGTGCAAGCAGGTGCATTTTTCCTTATTGACCTGAGGCGCCCCCCCTACCCGTTTACCCTGTTGCGCGCCCTGGTTCCAGCTGATTCGTGCATGAAGATGAACACCCGTCGCGCAGCACGAAGGCCGCGGCCATGCTCCCCCGGACCAATGGCGCGACGCCGTCGCCGAGCCGGGCCGGTTCGATTCGTGGCTTCTAGAGCGTGGTTCGTGGGAGCTCTTGTCCTTCTTCTCCGACGCAGCGCATGGGAGGGTGGTGTCGCCGCGCAAGAAGATAGCGACGACGGAAACGACGGCGGTAGCACCAGCGCGCCTACGGCGCTCTACCCGGACTGCGAGGCTGACATGGCCTTGGTCGGCGATTCTCTCTGCGACTTCGACGTCAACGTCGCAGAGTGCGGTTTCGACGGCGGAGACTGCTGTGAGTGTCCCCCCCGAGGCCCTAACAGCGGCCCCACACGGCGCGTTTTTTCCTGTGCTGTACCGTTTTGACGTTCGTGTGCTCCTCCTGTCTTGGAGGGGGGCTGCTGTCACCCTCGCTCATGGTCGTCAGTTCAGAACCAGCGGTGTTTTGTGCACAGCAGTCGATTTCTGCTAGCGTGCGCTACACACCTACCGTGTGCGTCCCGTGTGCTCGTGTTTGGAGGGGGGGCTCCTGCCACCCTCGGTCTCCGTTGTTCCGGTGGAGAACCAACCGCCGTCTTGTAGAACAGCGGTTGTTTTTATTTACTCTCCCATGGCCACAAAACGAGAGACCTACCGCTCGACCTTACCTCTGTTCGCTCACACACACGCGCGCGCGGATTTTGCTGCTGCACCCAGGCGAGTGTACCTGCGTCGACACGGGGGATCAGGTCTGCGGCGAGGGGGGTACAGGGTACTTCTGCGTGGACCCGGACGCCCCCCAAGATTGCGCGTCTTCGCCGAGCCCGACGCCGAACACGCCGTCGTCGCCGACGTCCTCTGACGCGATAGACGTAACGGCTGGACCGACGTCGCTCGATGCGTCTGATGACCCTTACCCGGGCTGTGGCGGTTACATCCCACATATTGGTGAGCGTGCGCCTTGGAGAGGGGGGGGGGGGGGGGGGGGGGG